TATGATATAAATCCTACCCCACCCCTACCATCACATCATTCATACTCACTATACTATTGAGTTAGCTACATTTGAAAGGACTGTATTATTACTCTGTTTCATCAAACTAAACAAAAGATGAACAGCAAGGTGCGTGGTGTTGGAATGTCGCGCAATAACAAGACATTTGGTAGGATAACTTTTCTTTTAACATGTAGTAGTTTTGCATTTCTCACTATCTTTCCATCTTTCCTTTTTGTTACTGTGCCATTGCTTATCCTAACTCTTAACCTCTCCTTCATTCTCCTCTGCAAATTCTACCTGCACCCCTCTTAAAAAACCCTGCTGAAGAAGACTGTTAGGTCGAAACGCGTACAGGGTTGCCTTTCCTTTTCTCTCCTTTATCTCTCGACTTATCGTTTCCAATTAACCAATTCACCCCTCCTCAGTTCCTATAATCGTTATTGCCATAATTCATCACGTATATGCAGTTCATACTATTGAAGTTGAAGTAAATAACAATAAATTTGAATACTGGTCCTATAATTATTTAGGTTACACAATGTCTCACACCAGTACTTGTCCCATTACCTATTTACACCAAAACAAGACACCCAGCCATTAATACTGGTACAGGAAAGCAACAGCCATCAAGTTCCCAATTACGATGTATAATACCTAGCTAGCTTTAATACCAGATATATCGCCACCGTCATGTTTATATGTGGATAGGATAGTTTCCCATATTTCATTGAGGACCAAAACAGAGACTTCCAAGTTTGAAAGCAAATTTTTTATGTCATCTATATCTAAAAAAGTGTGTGCAAAATTACTTCTTGATCAACTACAATTATCATATACCTAGTCGCCAATTGTTTATATTTTTAACACATCCTTATATAATCCATGGCACATCCGCCAACATATGGCTTTCATATAAACAAGCTATCAGCACTCACCGTAATTTACGTCAGAAAGAGATAAATTTTCCATTTAGACATCTAATTCGTCACACGAATCCTTCCAAGAGTTTTCTAAAGCCTGCATCGTCCCACTTTCGTCCAAAAATTCATTCATATTTGAGAAAAAATGTCAATTTTTCCCGATTGCCGAGTTTTCGACTATTCTGCCAACTTTTCGACACACGATTCCACAGTCCCTCGCATTTCCGACGTGTGCTGTCAACGCCTAACCCGTGAACGGGCATATTTTCCCGTACTAAAATATAACGAGGGACTGTGGAAGAGTCAGGATGGAAACTGCTTCAGCAATCAGTTAATGATAAACACGCGATTGCAACTTTAGATCACCCCTGATCAGAGGAGGCCCAGGCTCGATTTGCCCGCGCCCGCCTGTGCCTTCCTTATAACGAGGGAAGGAAGGAAACATTGAGACCAAAATAGCCCAGACTTGGCATATGTCACACGATTTTTCGCCTTCAATGCATTTCTTTCACAATTAATCGATATCCCCTGCAAGAATGATACCGTATAACTCTCAAAACAACGATGCTTTAATCAAAGAGCTTAAATTCGCTCTGAAATCCGTAAGGGAATAACAAAATTC